AACAATTTTAAATATATTTTGTGTAACAAACTACTTGGATATTTTAAATAGCTAATCCACAATAAGCAGTCAAAAGTTGGTTTTAAAAAATGCTTTCTAGACAAAACTTTGAATTTCAGAAGCATTGAAACACTCCAGAAACATGTAAATTGTTTATTCTTTACAAAAGAACTGAATATATTTATTGAGAACGAGAAAAATAGCCCAGAAATAAAATAGCAGTCGAATTGTGTAAATTGGGTGCTTTATTATTTCTAGGTTAATTTTTCTTTGGAACAAATATATTAATTTCCTTGGTAAAGAATAAACAATTGACGTTTCTGGAGTGTTTCTTTGTTTTTTCAAGACAAATGTTTGCCTAGAAAGCATTGTTTCAAACCAACTTTTGAGTGCTTATTGCGGCTCAGCCATTCGGAATATCCTAGTAGTTTTTTAGACAAAGTATGCTCAAAATGGTCTTAAGTTTCGATGTTACGTCTCCGGACATCGTGTGTACCGGAAGGCGGCGGGTTTGTCCCCCGCTGGAACGAGGAATCCGGGGCCGACCTACACATCGTCTTGTGGGATATCCGCTCCTTCAGGTATTTCTCCCAGCGGGGTTCCACCACAACCGGGACAACCTCTAACTAACGAGTGTTCTCCCGGCATATGTTGTAGCGCAGTGCGTATGTGTGAGAGAAAGGGTGAGGGCGCTGCGTGGGTCGTTTGGTTGGGCACTGCTCCGATATTCGCCTGGCGTTGATGGAAACTATCGATGAGAACAGTCGGCCGCTAGAATTCTCCTGCAGTCTGCGATTGAATACGTCCTAGCTTTTTAACTAGTGTCCTGCCATCCACCCTAAAATCCTGCCACCGTCTGTACTGTACTGTAGCCGGCGTTTCATCTTTTATTTGACTGGCTACGCTGTCGTGGGCGCTTCATCTATTTCTTTGGCTTTGCTTTCGACGGCGTTTCATACCTTATTTTCGTATTTTCGCCTTCGACGGCGCTTCATCCCTTGTGTCAGTGGCTTCGCCGTCAACGGCGCTTTATCCCTTATGTCAGTGGCTTCACCGTCGACGGCGCTTTATGCCTTATGTCAGTGGCTTCGCCGTCGACGGCGTTTCATACCTTATTTCAGTGGCTTCTCCTTCGACGGCGTTTCATACCTTATTTCAGTGGCTTCTCCTTCGACGGCGTTTCATACCTTATTTGAGTGGCTTCTCCTTCGACGGCGTTTCATACCTTATTTGAGTGCCTTCGCCGTCAACGGCGCTTCATGCCTTATGTCAGTGGCTTCACTGTCGACGGCGTTTTAACCTTATTTCAGTGGCTTCGCCTTTGACGGCGTTTCATACCTTATTCCAGTGGCTTCGCCGTCGTCGGCGTTTCATACCTTATTCCAGTGGCTTCGCCGTCGACGGCGTTTCATACCTTGTTTGAGTGGCTTCGCCGTCAACGGCGCTTCATCCCGTATGTCAATGGCTTCGCCGTCGACGGCGTTTCATACCTTATTCCAGTGGCTTCGCCGTCGACGGCGTTTCATACCTTATTCCAGTGGCTTTGCCTTCGTCGGCGTTTCATACCTTATTTCAGTGGCTTCACCGTCGACGGCGCTTCGTATCTTATGCCAATGGCTTCGCCGTTGACGGCACTTCGTACCTTATTCCAGTGGCTTCGCCGTCGACGGCGTCGCCCGACTACGACTACTCGCGCCTGCGGGCGGAGGAGCGCGCGCGGGAGGCGGCGGCGCTGCGGCGCGCGGGGGTGAGGGGCTCCACGGAGCCGCCGCCCCCGCGCCGCCGGCACCGCCTGTCGTGGAGGGCGTGGCTGCTGCGCGAGCTGTTCGCGTGGGGGTCGGCCGCCGACATGCAGTGCGAGCGCATGTTCCGCTGGCACGTGGGCGCACGTGCGCTGCGCTGCCACGCGCAGGACGCCCTCGCGCACCTCTTGGCGCGCTCCGGCGCTCCGCTGCGCGACAGGTGAGCGCACGATGGCCGAGAACAAGGTCGTCGTGTCATGGTTCAAATGAGAACAGCGCGTTTTGATAGGATGTAAAAGCATTTTAGCGTTAGCTTTGGTAAATATTACATGTCAAACAGACAAAATGATATATTTTATTATCGCGAAGGCCGAGGGTTGGAGCTTCGCCAAAAAATTCGACGCGCGTCATTTCCCCTTAATCTTTTCGAGTTATAACAACCTCATTCTCTTCTCGGATAAGTGTTGGCGATCGACAGCCCTCTTGACGATCTTTATGATATGGGAGAAGGGATCTAAATAGTTCCAGTCTCATCCAATACACATGCTTCTGGGCGGTGAATTGCCAAGCGTGCAGGCGTAGGGACTTGTCCGCCAGCATGCGGTCTCGTGCAGGCGCCCGGTGGAACCGTGGGGACTGCACCAATCAAAGATTTCCCTGGTTTTCCTAATACTTTTCTGGCTTATATGGATCCAACCACTATAGAAGTCATAAATAACACAGGACCTTCCGTTTCTGTTCGTTTTTCCATTCCCTTCCCCTTTTTCCGTCCTTTTTACTTCCCGTACCCTTTTTATTTTTATTTTTTCCCTTTTCCGTTTTCTTTCCTCAACCCCGGGCGTCCATAACAGTTTCCTACAGCCCATGGTGCTCTCAAAAACCACGATCAGTTAATCAGTGGACAACGTGACAGTTTCACCCGTTCGTTTTTTTGGTGCTGCAGTTTTAACTTTATGGCGAAGGCGTTTTTCCTAGGCAGTGCTCTGTTTCACGGGTCATCGGTAATCTCATCTGTGTGCATCCACCAAACTGCGTTTGTGTGAGGAAGGGCGGTTTGCTACGTACTCAGAACAGAGTTGCCCGCATTGACATTCAGGATACGAGCAACCACAAACTCTCTCTCCCGAAGAATTGAAGAGCCGTCGAGTGTCATCACGTCACCTGCATTTGTATCCACAGACGCTCGTCTTTTCTTGGACGGTCAGGAAAAGGCAATACTGCCATGTATTCCAAGCGTTTGTGGCTCCCGTTATTTGGGCTAAGTTGTAAGGTTGCAACAAACAGAAAATTATATATAGACACTGGTAATAAAACAAATTACCGAGCACATGAATTGGCTTAGTAGCATGCGAGATTCTTGTGTCTTTTGTGTAGCATGCGAGACGTACCTTCAGTAACAACCATTACAACCTTACTTTCAACTGTTCATATATTTAAAAAAAACATTATTTGTGAGCCAAACCAATTTTAAACTGAAATATGAATATTACCTAAACAGTCTTTGTATGTAAAAGAATCTAAATACTCGCATAAAAAACGCCAAGGACTCGATGATGGATTAAAGTTATTTAATCGAAAATTGTTCCCTTTAAATTTTGTATTTCGAATATACTGACGAAAATAGCGTACAGATACATAAGCAAATCGTCCAGTGACAGATCTCAACTTATATTGTCTCAAGTGTCTACCACGTGAAAAACTCTCTAAATGTAATGATTTTTAAACTCGATCGCTGAGAAACCGGAGAAACTTCGTCGATGTCAGCGATTTATTGTAAATACATAGTCATGGACTCACAACTGACAGTGCCCCTTTTCCGACTAGAAAAACGGATATTGTTCGGGACGCAAGTGTGCTTCGACACGATTAAGCTTCGTAGAATAATCCACACAATTTTGCTATATTAGAACCTTGCAGTTTCACTCCTAAAGCACAGATCCTTCCTTAGTGCAGTCTTACTACAGAACGTCGACCCAGTTTTTGTTGACAGTTCTTTTCAAGTTCCTTTTATTCGTAGCAAAACACATCTTCCATTGTTTTCTTTGTCAGAAAACTGTATTTACCGGTCATTTGAGAAGCGTATCTTCTGCTGTTTCATATTTCTTTGCGAGCAGTATCCGTTTCTCTCTGTAAGCAAATCCATCAAACGAAACAAGTAATTCTATCTTTACTTGGCTGACCGGGAGACGCCGCGTCCATGGCGAAGGTGCCGACGTTTCGGTCGCCATTCTGCGACCTTCCTCAGGGCGATGGCATTCGCAGAATGGCGACCGAAACGTCGGCACCTTCGCCATGGACGTGGCGTCACCCGGGCAGCCAAGTAAATACTGACTCCGGCCGCGGAAGCCTACGCTCTCACAAGTAATTCTAATCGCACTTTAACAAAGGGATCGCTTTTCTGTGTAAAACTCGCTTTCATTTTTTCTCCTAATTCTTGCTCAAGCAAAAAAAATCCTTAACATTCCTTCACTCATTTTCAGTAAGAGACATATGCATTCTTCAATTCATTTGTATATTTTGGTTTTTTATTTATTTGTCGCCAAAAAGTAAAAAGTTGTAAGCACAACGTCTTATTGAATTTCGAATCATTATTTCGTAAATTATAATATTTTTTTTGTGTTGCTGGAAAGGACGAAAGGAGTTTAAACTTCGATATCGACAGTTAATGTGTTAGGAAAGAATTGTGTGTGTCTTGTCACGTTTTGAAACCCTAGATGACTAGACGATCTAGTAGTTTGACGTAGTCGTTAGTCTGTTACAAATTTCAGGCTTCTTTACCATCGTATTTACATATTGCAATGGTTATTCATTACCTAAATTTTTACCGTCGGTTATTAGTGAAATATTTAAGTCTCAAAATATTAATATATAAATTACATTCTTGAATTATTTTGTGTTGGTTTTAATACTGAAATTTTAAAAACTATCATTATTTGTTTATCACATAAATGATTATTTGACATAATAATCACTGTTGTGAGACTTGAAATGTTCGTTTGCGTGGTGATCAAGCAATACGTAAATGATGTGTAATTTTTATTGTAATGTTTAGTGTATTTTTAGTGTAATATTTTAGTGTAATTTTTAGTGTGATTGTTTAGTGTGATTGTTTAGTGTGATTGCTTTCTTATTAAAAAAAAAGTGTTTTGTTGGGATTTTTTTTTGGTTTTTTTTAAGGTTGTGAATTGTGTAGTGTAGTTTTTTAGTGTAGTAATCTCCCCGCTTGAACGCATGAGTAATTGTGTGCCCAGGCTGCAGGGTGCGAGGGAGAGCTTGGGGCGCCTGCTGCTGCCGCTGTCCTTCTGGTGCACCGTGTACGCGCTCTGGGCCGTCCCGCTGTGGTGCACGCGCGGCTGGTGCTGCTGCTGTTGCTACTGCTGCTGCCACTTCTGCCGCCCCGACGCTTCCCTGGACGAGGTAATGCCAGGGGCCGGGCGGTGGAGGGTCTCTTGACAATACGCGTAATGTATCACTGAAACCTCCGCACATGCTATCTCAAAAAGATATTGAAAAATCCTTTTATCCTATAGATGCGCTACGTTAACGAGTCATATGTTACTCAACAAATTGTGCCTAGAGAAGGTGAAAAAATAGTGATTAAATTGGAGGTATTAAAATAGAAGATAGAGTTAAAGACATCGAGGGTTCAGTGTGTCCGCAAACTCAACGACATATTACGAACCTGCGCTGGCTGGATTCATCAGGTGCTTTTCAGACAATAGTTTGATTACCTAAATAGTAAAGATGAGCGTTATTGTAAACAATGGGTAATCGAATCATTTAGTTTACCTTACCTATCGCTTTTTTGTGACCTATTTTCCTATCGTCGCGACGCCAGTATCTGTGATGTAAGACATGCTTGCATTTACTTAATTTCTGGTATTCTTTCTTCTTATTTTAGTACACTGATTAGTGCAGAAGCCTCTAGCATCCTTTTGTGAGACTTATCCTGAGCAAGTATAATTAGGGTACTTGGCCGTTGCTTTCCCTAGGGACGCTAGTGCGCCAATTTATGATGTTTGATTTGAATACCATAGAGCGCAGGCCAAGATACAATATCTGTAATCTCATCTAGTAATTCAAATCAAAACTCTGATAGATACTAAATTGCTAGAGGATTTAATTTTTCGTAGAATTGGTCACGTGCCTTTCCTGGGATCTGTTGTACTTGCCGGCAAGCGTCCGCATGCATGCCGTCGAGTTTTGGCACCTCAAAAATCCCCCGACTTTGACCGGATTCGAACCCGCGAACTTGGGATCAGTAGCCTGGCAAGGAAACTAATACTACACTTGTTTATTTACAATTGTTTTTTTCTATTCTAATGTGGAAATTATGAGGATGCCAGGTTACCCCCAAGGCAGCTCTATGCAGCAAATTAAAGTCATTTGTTCCTCTTGTTGTCTGTGTAAACTACTTAGTATTACCACGAGTTCATTCACCTTGCATAACATGACAATCTATATTGTACTATAATATAATATAACACTACTACTATAATATAACACTATATTGTACTTCAAAGAATATTGCAGCTTCTTCTATGCAAATTGGCTTCACTCACGAGTTAAAAACATTCTGTACTTCTAATGGTTGGCCGCGTTTCTGTTTGTGATACATTTTCTCTATTTATGTAGTTACTTACTCACTCCTTGACTTTATTTCTTATTTACATGATTATTTATTTACTTCGTTACTTACTTAGTATTTAATTAAATTAGTTACTTGCTTATTTATTTACATATTTTTAACTACTTCGTTTCTTCGTTAATTCGCTGAACTTAGTAAAAATCTAGTTTTTTATAACAATCCTCCCGTCTTCATTCTCTTCAATATTCATTACGTAATATGAAATAGAAGGGCGACCTTGATGAAATAATGTGTTACTATCGCCTTGGTGTTTTCCTGTAAGCTCTAATTTGACACTGTCTAAATTCACGAAGTTCGTTGTGCGGAGATATTCCAATCCCTGGAATGTAATTGAAAAGCAGACGTATTAACTTCCTCGGTACATCCCTAAATATTGCGAACTGGCTATTGCCAATTCCTACAGAAAATAAGTGTAAATCTCCATTATGTATTGCACTTAAACTTCCTTCCACCGCACATATCTCAGACGACCAGTTGGAAGCATAGAGCTTATCTCAACAGGAGCGGTGCCCCCCTCTGAGAGGTGCGAAGAGAGAAGAAAAAACAAAACAACGTGTAGATCGGCGCCGGATATAACGATCAAGCGAGGCAGGAACTTCTCCACCTCCCAACTATAAAAAAAAAACTATGCAACCTTCACGGAAGTAATAAACAAATAAGTGTAAACATTGAAAACTCACTAACTCAATCACTCCACTGTGTAATGCATTCAACTTTAATTTATTGATCAATTTCCCCTCCAACCCCGCAATAATATTTAATTTTTTTAATTGACAATCGGAGCACGTTTTGTATGTTCAACGAAGGCCATTGTTGAGCTTTTATCAAGTGAATACTGTACTTAAACCAAGTATTGTAAGACTACTTTCATTTGTTCTTATTTCTATGCGTGCAGTACTTCTTACTTGTAAATTTGCTTTTTATTGATTTATTTAATTCATATTATATA